CTTGAAGATATTTTTGGCGTATTGGTCCGCCATATTGAATACCGTATAATTTGTTTTAGACTGGTACTCGCTCCCACCTCGATTACTCGATTCCCATCGAGTAACTAAGCCGAGAGGGGAGCGAGTACCAGTCTATTCATGTTGAAGTCGGCTAATTATGTGATTAGTTAAACATGTACTTAAATCGCTTCGTGAAACAGATTTTTGAGTATGATTAACTAATCATAATTACGGGAAGTTAAATATGATTAGTGATTTAATCATACTTAAGTTAAGTACGCTTCGTGAAACCGGCCCCAGATATGCACATAACTCAATTTGTAGAATTTCCTACTTAATCCTGGTTTTGCTGGAGCGGGTCACATATGTTATAGCCTAAAGCGTATCGGTAACAGCGGATCGCAGTAAAGGAGGAACAAGTTTTCTTTAATTGAAATCGGAATAATTATATCGTTTTTTTTACTCCAAAGGTGTAGCCATTAAACATGATCGCATTTTTATTCTCAGGCTATGAGACCGCGTTTAATTCTTTCTTACAGCTAACAAAATATAATTCCTAGTAATTGCCTTGGATAAATAACAACGTAAACGTTACATAAAGATATATAATATGGTATGGTTAATTCTGCGATTATGAGTACCATGTAGTCGGAAGGTAAGTGGATTATCTCTTTGTTGTCGCATTGGTGCAGAAACTTTCTATCGTGAACAAAGTCGCTGTGGGCAGATGCTGCTACCAACAGAATGATCACGGCGTAGCGCATTGTGACTGAAGTAGCACAAATTCGTGTATTTAAATATCGGAATTATACAGAAGACTAACGTAACGAAACAGCAAACGGAATAAGTAAAGTACTCAAACAAATAGCAAATAGTGACATGAATAATTCAATATTAATGTTTTATAGCAAATACAAACTCTGTGGAATGGCGGCAGCGTATACGACAGCTTACCTGTAGCAATCGGAGCCTGGAAACTAAGGGTACTGCTGAACACTACGTATGGACTGGTACTGATTCGTGAACTAACGTGAACTGTGCTTACTGCAGAGATTGCCGAGATTTCGGTTGTGCAAACAGTAGTTTGATATTTGCACCTATATATCTTATATCTGCCCATCCACAGTCCATCGAATTGGCGAATATTTAACTATACACCGCAGCGGTAACTTGCCTAGACACGTGTATAGTATATGATCTCGATTATGTTCGGTTAGTGGCATTCGTGTTGTTGCTCGCAGAACTGTTCGGTGTATCTATACCGTTTCTAGACGGTTTTGGCGTCACGTAACTATAGCAGCAGTGTATCGGTCGCGATACCTTACCTCGCTTACCTCGCCTTAGCACTACCGCTTAGTCCTTGGACTGTTGCCACGTGAGTGACACCTGTACACCTAGACAGCTGTCCCAGGGCTATCTGGCAGGGTCATACTTTCTTACAAGATTAGTGCACACTGCGCTACTGCTGTGGTTTTCCAGGTAGTTTATTTCATTTTGTTTATCTTACGGTTGTATTATCACTACATCAAACAACCTACCTATGCTCTGCAATCTTCTTTCCCATGTCCAGGCTCGTGGAACATATATATAGGACAATAATATTTTGACCCAAAAATGTTTACATGTAAAGCGAAATCTGAGTGTGTCGCGCCCTAGAATGAGCGGGTTGCTTTAGTGTTTACATAGCATAAAACGTATGAAAACTAAATAAACACATTTGTTATGCTTAAGTCGGCGTTGTTTTTAGGGAAGAATGACGAATGATGCGTTCGATATTTTTACTAAATGGTTTACATAATTTGTGCTCCTCACATATTACATAATTACATAATGCTATAGTAATATTCATTCATTCTATGTTACGCTAATTAACAGAACCAATAATTTTTTACATACTCTATCTCGTGTTGGCTTTATGTTATTCATCAAACTAAACGATGAGTTTTAGATGAAGCCTTGTAGAAACAAGAGCACTAACTGTCAAAGACAGTCACGATCACTGAAATCAATGTCAGGCGACGTCAGTGTAAGACCAGGGACACGTTGATATAGGAATGGTTATGTTAGGGTTCATTTAATTAGCACAACAGCTCTTTAACATTAACATGCGTCAAGCATGGTCATCGTAAATTGTATGAGGCATACGCTTTGCCATCTCATCTCACAATGTTGTAATTTAGCTCAAATACTCGGAGAACGCGATCGTATCCTTCCACGGACTGTTGATGACTACTCCGTACATGCGAATGAGAACGCGCGGAAATTTCGCTAACAAAAACAGAATCGGATCCTGTATAATTTTCTTGGTGGCTGGCCGGAAGTTGCCGAAGTTAGTTCGCAGGTGCACCGCGAAACGGATGTAATCTGGGAAAGTATCGCCGTAGCCTCGTCCGATTTCCGGATCCTCCCACACGAGTCTATCGATGTGGTGCGTCCACTTATCACTGGTCGCCTCTTGGAAGACTGCGCTGAACGGCGGCACTGCTGCTGCGGCACTGTGCGGCAGCGGCTGCCCCGCACGCACTTTCATTTCTGCGTAAATCGTCTCGAGGAAGCCGACCCGCTTCACGTCGCTCCAGAAGTATGGATGACGCAGAGCCTGCTGCATCGAGGGGCGGCGCTGCACGTCTCTACTGAGCATGCGCCGCAGAAGGTGGTCGAGCTCCTCGCCAATGTAACTCATCGCGGGCACGCCCGATACGAGATTCTGCAGGCAGCGAAACGTGCTATCGCCGTACGGGTGCTTACCGCCGGTGAGAATGTAATAAGCCAGCACGCCTGCGCAATGTACGTCGGAAGAGGGCGTATATGCCGCCGGAGGCACTTGCGTGCACTCCGGGGGCAGCCAGCATTGGGCGCTAAGCGAGCCGTCGTCGGTAGCCCTGAACGAGTCTGCGCGACGCGTCAGAAGGCCGATGCCGACGTCGGCGAGTCGCAACTGTCCGCAGGCGCCGATGAGCACGTTGCAAGGGTGAAGAGCGCCGTGGAGAACACCGCTCGGTTCGCGCGCGTGCAAATACGCGACAGCGTTGAAGAGCTGCTGCACCAGCCGCTTAGCCTGCAGCTGCAAAGTCGCCTTGCTCAGGAGCAACTGCATGTACTCTCGCAGGTTGTAGTCGCACAGTTGCATGTAAAGGTAGCCAAGCTGTTCGTCGCACGTGAAACCCTTGGGATGTAATATATAATCAAAGAAAGGTCAAATATCAGTAACTAATTTCAAATTGATTGCATTTGATTTGATTTGCCTTTTGTATGAACGCGAAAGATTCTTGGTAAGAACTGCTATCTTTGCAACCGATGTCACTAGAAATGCCAATTTCACGAATGTATACGCGCATGTTTCGTGTTTTGGCTTAAGTCGATTGAGGTTTCTGATTTCACGATGCTTTATATGAAGTTTTGTAAATAAAGTTGTCATTAGAATACATTAATGGTATGTGCAAAGAATTATTGCAACCGTTGTTACCTCAATGCGAACGACGTTCTCATGCTGAATATTGCAAAGATTCCACTTGTCCAAAATGTATCTTACTGCAGGCACTCTGGCTCGCGGTATAATCTTCACTGCCAACTCACAACCATCATTTCTTATACCGAGAACAACCACACCTCTGTCAGGCGTTCTGTAACATAAATAAATATATATATATAATATATATATATATATGTGTGTGTGTGTGTGTGTGTGTGTGTGTGTGTGTGTGTGTGTGTGTGTGTGTGTGTGTGTGTGTGTGTGTGTGTGTGTGGTGTGTGTGTGTGTGTTTTAGTACAAAAATATAAGCATGCATTTAAGGAGAAATGCCAGATAATTCAAAGTTATCGGTATATATTATTACCGTGAAGACATGGCAAAACTGTCGTCCTTGCAGAAAGCGACGTTGTCTCTTATCGTGACTTTATGCGCAGATACTGTCGTCAGCTTTTGCAGGGACTTGTGCCATCGGTGGCTGCACGGAATCCATGTCAAGTACGGAAGAATTTCTGCGTTTCCATTCAGTCGCTCATTTTCACTGCCGTGTAGTTGCCAAACGTTGGCGCTGCTGGTCACGTTTGAGCTAGTACCGACGATAGAGTGCGACCAGGTCTCGTGCTTATCACTTGGTGTGACGTTAAAATCTAAGATAGCTGGATCCTCTTCAGTGATAATACCAGTTGGATTAACACTGACCGGGCCACCCTGCCGGTGACTTCTGTTCTTGCTGTCAAAACTCCAGAATCCCTCCGTACCGAAGAGACTATTACCTTGCTGATCATTATGCGAATTCAACCGCGTCGTAGGAGACGAGTCTGTACCTTGAATAAGCATTTGCATATATTATGTCGTGATTCATGTAACATAACAACAGTAGTATAGAGAGCTCATAAATGCTAACTATCTCCTAACATATTATGAAATTCAATTCAGAAATACGCGTTTACGACAGTAAAAGAACGGAGGTGATGAGATCTAGCACCTTGAGCTCCCAGATGCGCCAATGGAAACATCGCATATTGTTCTGTCCTAAGCTTGTCTCCACTGTTCCATTGTTGTGTGCTCGGAAAGACTTGCGCCACTGGTTTCTGGTGCTTCTCCGCAAGCGGCAGGAAAGAGTCCTCTTGTCGGACAGCATGGAGGTGATTTCTATCCGAGGTGTATGCTGACGGAAACAGAGTATTACTCGTTTCAATCTGCGGTGCAGCCATGGCAGCGGGTTGTCGGTGTTGGACACGTTCGCCAATTGTTTTAATTGCATCCGGTATACGCGCATCTGTTTCGTGCTTCCTATATTCTCGTAGCTCCTCGAAAGGTAACAAACGATAACTTTCTTTCTGCCAACAGTTATACTCCCTAAGAGAGGTGTCATTGCAGCGTTGGTTTAATTCTGGCATGTACTGCGGCGGTTTCTCCGCGGCACGGCCTTGAGTGGCCTCACTGCACTTCAGCCAAGCATCAGATGCTGTGATCTGCTCTTCCCATTGCGATTTTCTGATACAGTGGTTTTCTGTCATGGCTCTGGCAGTACCGATTTGTTGCAAATACTCATGAGGTAGTTTCGTCTGCACATATTGACTCGTTGCTTCGTGATCAGGCCCATTGACCTGCTCTTTCGTGAGGCGTTGAGAATCTATTTTGTTGGTGCTAAAAGGCATATCTAGAAAGGCAGACTTTCCACATGGTGTACTTGGCTTCGTATACTGACCAATCCCCGTGGCATGAGACTCTGCCTTCCGTCCATGTATCATGTCTTGATCGCCATGTTGTGCAGGTATTTGCGTGGACGAACACTCGAATGTACTGCGCGAATGCTCGTTTCTTCGGCAAGGTGCAGAAAACAGCACCTTTTTATGCGTCTCCCTTGATACGTTGTTGTTTGCCTGTTGCAGAAATGAGTCATCAGAATGTTCCCATGCGAATGCACAAGATGGCTTTGGTTTCCCGCTTCTGTCTGCCACACTCGACGAAGATTGGCTCAGTAAACCATTAATCTCAGATGATGGCTCTGTGGCCTGTGACCCTGTGCTGGATTCATTCATGCTATCACCCGGGAAGGAATCACTCACCTCCAACACCCAGTCATGTGTTCTGCTTAGTCGTTCCTCCTGCCAGCCAGCCCCGGTTGCTCTATCCTGCCCCCTGCTAGTCCCTCCGTTTTCCGGAGGATTTCTAGCAAGTTGTTGGCACACTGGCAAGCGAGACGTCGCCTGAAGCCGAAATACGGGAAACAATGGGCGTGACCAGTGGTCATCCTCGATGTTAGAGAATGCCTTCATTGTGTTGCAGATATCTGCGGCATATGACGAAGGAGTGGCAGCTATAATTTGCTGCGTGCTTGCTTGGGCTGGAACGTCTTGCGCATCCAAATTTGGCTTGTTTGTCATAATCTTTTGTGTTTCTTCAATCACGGTACCAACTTCTTGAACTAATTCGGCACATTCCGAATTACCTCTAATGCATACATTTTCAGCTTCTGTTTGTTTCTGTGCCATGTTTATGCTGCCGAGAAGTTGAGTCTCTGAGTGATTTATATTATTTATAGATGGCACCGGTGGGGGACCGCCCTGAAGCAAGGCTGCATTAGCAGTTTCCATGATTTGGCTTTCGGAAGGATGAACTGATGGATGGGAAA